AAAATTGCTTTTTATCTTCATATTTTGACGAGCCCGCGAGTCTGAAGGAGCAGGGCTCTTTTACAAAGGATTTTTTACATGATTTTGAATCACCCTATTTAATCTTGGACTTGGGTTACAGTGAGATTTCTTACTACCATGGTGAACAAATACCTTTTATTTCTGACAGTGACATTATAAGCTTATATCGTCATAGTTACGATATCTATTATGAGGGTCATAACTCCCTTGGGATGTTATAGATGCTATAATTCCCTCTAACTAAAATTAAATAAGAAATGCATAGCAACAACCACGCAGTAACGTAGCAATAAGGAATCTCCTATTCGCGGTAGTCAAGATCATCATCTGACGTTCTGATGACATTGAAACTATACGGAAAAACATGTCTAACTTCCAATCGGGAAGGTATCTAATGAATGAAATCAGTCAGAAATAAAATTATCTATGTATCACGGGAATTACTGAGCCTCAATAACCTCAGGCAATTGCTGTCCCTCGGGCCAGAGGCCCTCGGGACGCAAACTTTGCCATCGGTAATTAAGGCCCTCATAATTCCCTTAATACATAAATAACTATTATATCTACCTCATCAGCATAATACCTCAGGTTGTATTAATTTCATACATCTCGTAACGTCCACAAATCATGTTAAATCTTCTGCAATAAATAATTGATGAGATCTTTCTAATTATTCTTCTAGTAACATAAACGCGAGAGGCAATTTCAGAAAATCAAGCTGAATAAATTATGCAAGAGTGAGGCGGGCGATGAACTGGTTTGTAAATGGTTTGTTAAGGATTTCTACAAGTTGATCTTTGCGCAATTCGGCGTTTTATGCTCATACTAGAGGAGCATTGCCATTATGAAAGTTGTATTTTATTCATGAGCGGTAGGTATAGGTGCAATACCATAAGACTATACGAACGAGGTTTATTTCATCAATATACGAACCCACTATAACAACACTCCACCTGTGAATTCACCATGACATATCGCGAAGTTTGTTTGTACGTTATTAATTCTGTATTGAACATGACGAAATAGTTATTTCAAATAAAGAGAAACTCAAAGTCATTACCACAATAGTTCATAAAATCAACGGGAATGGTAGATAACGAGAGAAAAACAAAAACATTCCAGGCTAATGCCACGCAGCACATTGAATTACATCCTCCCGAATTTTTGCAACAACTCGTATAGACGAATAATTCTTTGCACTTTCCTCGACAAGAAGCCATGTGAACTTTCTGTTAGGAAAATTTCAACTATTTCAATGAAAAATTGGCTGACACATTTTTTCATTGCTAATTATGATCAATAATTGCAACATCGAGCTCATGAAATACCTGGAACATTCAGGTATATTCAACGATAGGCAATATGGCTTCCGTCATCAGAGATCAACTGGTGACCTGCTCGCTTATGTCTCACATATTATATGGCAACAATCTATTGAAAAATATGGTATCTTCAAAGCAATCGATCGAGTCTGGCACCACGGACTCCTCGGCAAGCTTCCATCTGATGGCTTGCCTCCCCAGCTATGTTCTCTGCTAGCTAGTATTCTCTCAAACAGGTCTCTCCATGTAGTGATCGACCGAGTTCCATCTGACTCTCTTACCATGAATGCTGGTGTTCCGCAAGGATCAATTCTAGCACCAACACTATTTCTACTTCATATCAACGATTTGTTGAAAGCAACTTCATGTCCAGTACATAGCTTCGCGGATGATAGTACCCTCCATACCGCCTCCTCTTCCAGGGCTCCAATACCAGCCAGGCAAATCAGAAACGAACGAGGGACAAATATTGACAACATAAATATGGACTTGGCAAGAATTCTCGAATGGGGATCCAATAACTTGGTAGATTTCAATGCGAACAAAACACAAGCATGCCTTTTCTCTAGAAAAGCCGATCTCACTGTGCCAAACATGAGCATGTCAGGAGTAACCATACCTTTGAAGACATCCATTTCGATGCTCAGTATTACCATCAGCAATAACCTTTCAAGGGAAATTCATGTAAGATCAATTGCGAAAAGTGGATCCCAAAAACTAGGTTTTCTGTTTCGGGCCAGGAGCTATTCCACTTCCAGTCAACTGCTTATGATCTATAAGGCACAGATATGACCTGTCCTGAAATATTGTTTCCATATTTGGAGTGCAGCACCTAAACATACCCTGAAACTGTTGGATTCTGTCCAAAAAAGGGCAATTCGTCTCGTGGGTGATGCCTCGCTCACAAACTCACTCACTTCTTTGGAAAACCGTAGAAAAGTTGGCGATCAGGCTCTATTTTATAGATATTTTCATGGACGATGCCCTTCTTGAATATCAACAATTGTACCTCCCTTGGCAGTCTTCGCGAGATTAACCCGTCTAGTTGAGGCTTCGCACCCCTTCGTGGTCACTCTGGAGACCTGCAGAACATCTCTTTCCAAAGACTCGTTCATCCAACGAACAGTGAGGCACTGGAACACATTGCCAAGGGAGGTGTTCCCCGAGACATATAACCTCCAGAAATTCAAGAAGAACAACAATTCCTACCTTAATTCCCTAGGTTCTCACGATGTTCTCTGAACATTACAGGATATCCCTTTTCGTGGGAACCAGAACATAAAAAAACCTTAATTTGCATACTATTATTTGGTTATTATGATAGTAACAATTACAACGATGCATAGCCCTTTCCGGCCTGTACCAGACCATTATTATAGTCCAAACATACGCTGATGCTCTCAGATTCCATCCAGAGAAGAGCCATTCGCGTGGTGGGTGATGCCACACTCACTAATTCTTTGACCTCTTTAGAACACCGTAGAAAAGTCGGCGACCTCTCACTTTTCTATAGATACTTCCACGGGAAATGTTCCGCAGGAATAGCAATACTAGTCAGACGAACTCGACAAGCTCAGTCAGCACACCCATTCGTTGTCAATTTTGAGATATGTCAAACAGTTTTTTATCAACACTCGTTTGTCTGTAGAATGGCAAAGCTTTATTGCCAATGAAAGTAGTTCCAAGAAGTTCAAATTTCAATGCCTACCTCCTCTCCCTACCCTCCCAAGGGAGGCAAGGTGTTCTTCAAACATTATAGGAAATGCCTTTCGTGCGCTCCAAGAGATAAGAAAAAATGTAGGAAGTATTTTTTGCATTTGTTGCTGAACTTCTTCGTACCTCGTATAACAAGGAAAAAAGAAGATATCTGAATATTGAAACAAGGTCGGTGCCCAAATAAATAGTTATCGATCATGACTCGACCCAGAATAACAGGACTTGGAGAAAAAATACAATATACCCAGACGAAAAGGAAAATCAGGTTTTATACAACCAGGGTCATGCTCAAGATTCTTCCGGTTCAAATGGATCGTCAATGCCTATAAATAATGATGTTGTTTATACTCTTTAATTGATATCAAGACCATTTTTTCAGGAAATAGTAAAACAAAATATTTATGATACCAACATCTACCAAAAAGGTACAAAAGGAGTTTAATCACTAACTTCAATCAGACGGTTTATTTTAATGAGTTCAACTCATTCCGGTGAAGATTTCACACCTAACATTTTCGATCAATTAGAAGCCTGATGCATAGCAACTAAACAAATTTTGGGACATTTTTGCCTCCTCCTTGGGGGAAAGGTGCATGAAATTACACTGGAAATTTTGTGACTTTTATAGATGGATTCGCATTGCTTCACGGCAACACAAATTATTGAGTTAACAATGAGGGACATAATCAGAAGGAAATATTCAGAATATAGTGGTATTTTGCTAGACAATTTCACGAAGCATCAAAAGCGTTCATCATGAATAATGAAGAAGCCATATAACCAAAGCGACTCATACTGACATCTAGAGCTATAATTGTTTAATGTCAAACTGACAGATTATTCTTTGGTATCTAAGATAACATTGTTGAAAACACCAACGCTGTTAGACCAATCAGAATTGAAAGACTGCTATTGTTTTCGCGATAACACAAGTTGTCTTTAGCTTGCAATGGGCGTGTACACCTTAGTAGAACTTTTAACTCAAACCATGTTTATAATCATCCTTCCATACATAAATAATAATTGACGACATAATTCGATCGAAACATTAACTGGAATGTTTTATTTTTGGACATAAATAATAGTACCTTCTGAAAACGGACCCTCTTATGACGTAGAAACCTCATCTCGCCATAGTTAAAAGAAAATACCAAACGCACGACGGAGACTGAGGCAACTGATATATTAATTCTTTCAATTGTGATCTCGCGCTAATTCACTGTGTCAGAAATCATGTATCATTCATCTCTTTCTGGAATAGTCTTGTTTCAGTTATAGGGTTTTGACGTCACATAATCGCCTCGTTTTCAGAGGTCCGAAAAATCGGGGATTTCAATAATTTTTTATAAAACGTAGGGAGCTCACAGCAAGAAACGGTTTGCGGTGTTGAGCTAGTTTGGGTGTAGTTCTATCGAATTATGAAATAATTTTTTTTTGTGATATAAGCCCATTGGTGTGATTATTAAAAAATTTCAAGATAAGTGAAATATACACTATATGTATAGACATTTGTTACAATCGATGGAGCAAATGAAATGAATCAGTGAAAGGAGTTTTTCTTGTATTCATCTCTCCTCAACTATTTGAAATATTTATTTGTAGATGGAAAAACCAATACTTTTGGCTAAACTAACAAAGAGAGGCGAAGCATTGGGTGGCTGCTATTACCCGAATGGCCACCATTTCGCCGACTTCCCCTAAAAGTTATTCAATTCAAAGTAACTTCAGTATTTTGTACGAGTATCTTACTTGAAGAAGCTACTGTGTTAGCGAAACATGTCGTGATATTCAGGATTTTGTGCAAATCTAATCGTTTATGAAGTTTTCGTATTCACTTTATGGATTTCCACCAAGGTCGACCAAGGAAATTAAAAAAACGGGTAAAGTATTATGTTGAACAGATCTCTCAGGGATACCCTGTATAATAATATCTTCGCTCACCCTTGATATTGATATCCCACAAGACGACCTTAGCTCCGAGCTTGGCCAGCCTGAGAGCCAGCAGCCTGCCCAGCCCGCCTCCCCCGCCAGTGACCAGGGCCACTTCCCCGGAAATGTCCTTCCTGTAGCTGTACGTCGCCGGCAGGCACGCCCTGTATATGGCCTTGACGATCAGCCAGGCGGCCAGCAGCAGAAACGATCCCGCGTCCAGCAAGGACCTCATCAGTTGAGGGTCTTTCGGTGAGGCTGCCATTTTGTGTGCGATCACTCAGTGCACTGGATCCTGTTGATCATCTTGTTGATGTGGACGGTTTATCGGAAAGGTCGCTTATCTGGAACGTAAATTTGAATTTTTATCAGACCAGCTCGATTAATTGGGGTTCGGTAAGTTATCTCAGTTTTTTGTAGTCAGTAGCGTGCTGACAAGACAGTCAAGGGCCCCCTGGATAACCGAAGAATCAGCATCAACAGAATTGTTCTGGTCATTATTTGTTGATACTTGGCAGCCTAGAATTGAATTGTTTGAGTCAATGGCTCTCAGCGTTTTATCTAACTACTACCGCTTTCGTCAATATATATCGAGCATTCTCTGAGAGGAATACATTATGAACAATCAAGTAGGTTGACTAGACAATCTCAAATACATAGCTACAATACAAGACAAGCAATTTTCATTAGGTTACCAAAATACCGGCTTTGTATTTCCCTGAAGAATTCTTTGGAATACGATCTTTATAATATATTACCAGCAGAATTTAAGACACATTCAATTTTATTCAAGAAGAAAAATTTTATTTTCTTCTGCAACATTGTTTTTATTCAGTTTTTGAGTTTATTGACCATGTCAAGCGTTTTCCTATGCAAGTTTGTTCATATCTTATATAAAAGTTGAACAAGCCAAGGTCGAGCCAACGTTAGTTTAGTTCATTGTACCAGTATATCCCCTGAGGAAGCTACTGTGTTAGCGTAACATGTCGTGTGTTTGAAAATTTTGTGGAAATCTTATCGTTTGTGAAGTTTGTACATTCGTCATGGATTTCCATCAAGTAACGGCCGAGTCAATTCAAAAGAATAATACACTGACACGGCCTTGATAACCAGGCGGCAAACAGCAGGAAAGAACCCGCGTCCAGGACGGAAATCAAAAGCTGAGGGTCTTTCGGTGAGGCGGACATTTAGTGGGCGATCACTCTATGCACTGGAACTTGTTGATCATAGTGGATGTGGACGGTTTATTGAAAAAGTCGCTTATTTGGAATGTAAATTAAGATTTTCAACCGACCTGTTCGATTGATTGTAGTTCGGTGGGATATCTGAGATTGTTTTAGAGCCAGGACACTTAGGAGCACCGCTAGATTAGCGGAAAATCAACACCAAAAAAACTGTTCTGGGTAAAGGTAAAGTATATCCAATATCAATTGCAGAATATCCCGCACTGTGCGGCGTCGGCGTGTTTGAAATTTTCTTTGAAGTGACTGCAGGTGCGGCACAAGATTCTGCAATTGTTTTTGGACAAACTATAACTAATCCACTCATTTTGAAATCTGTCCAATCGCAAGCCAAAGACAACTTGAATCATCACGAAAATAGTAGGTGTGTTTCAATTCTGATTGGTCTATTAGCGTTGGTGTTTTCAACGATGTTTAATCATCGATATAGCAAAGGAAATATATCTGTCAGTTTGACTTGAGATAATTATAGCTGCAGATGTCAGATGAAATAGCTTTAGTTATAAGGCGTGTTCATTCATAATAAACGCTCCTCATAATTTCCAGCAATAGTACTCGTCTTGATGGACTATCGTGGACTGTGTACATATATAATACCTAGATGATTATCGATTTGAATAATATTATCGGCTGTCTTAGAACATCTGATGATGATGCAAGTTGCAAGCAATAATAGTCTTGTTCCACCTGAGAAAAATATGTTTTCTATTCTATTTCCTGAGTTTTGGACTAGTATCAGTGAATATTTTTGTCATATTTCTCCAATAGTTCCTGAGTTATTATTATTACTACTATTATTCAAAAAGAAGGTATGTCAAATCTGAATACAGTTCTGTTGATTCAACATATTTGGTGTTCGGATGTTAAAAGGGTATGAATGCTGAGATGCGTTTCTGTTGGGTCAAGGAGCTTGGCATTTAGGAAGGAAACACTTGTTGATACATTCTTTGTTCTGGTTCTTCAAAGAGGAAATTCATCAGATTTCATGCTTTAAATAGGTTCATGTCATGAAAGAAGTGAAGCTTATGAAAATCGGCTACAAAAAAGATTTCTTGCTTCTATTTCAAATTGAAATTTGAATGAAAATGTTGAGCACAGTATTTATCCGACCACAGAACAATGATGGAAATAGATGCATCCCTCACAGAACCAAGGTTTTGAACGATTTTCCGATTATGGCGCCTCTATCGCAAATACCTGAACCACATGTCCAAAACTCGCTTGCTTCTGATTATGGCGCCTCTATCGCAAATACCTGAACCCCACGTCCAAAACTCGCTTGCAATTGTTCCATATCGAGAGTTAGTCTGACGAAACCATTGAAGAGTGAACCCACCAGTTAAATTTCTATACATCTCTCTGTCACGGCTAATACTTTCATGACTTTATCGCATGTCGTTATCCCATCTCAGGTCCACAGAACTCAAAGACCGAGTTCTGTGCTCAGGTCAGGTCAATTTCTCAGATCTTGAGAAGAACTATAATCGATATGCAATAAAATCATCGAGAAAATAATCATCATCAATTGCTGCATATATCGTGACAATAGATGACACATTTCTCCAACTATACCTGAACTTTAATTTAACAGGAACAATTTCATAGCACAAGTTTTTTTTCATGCATTTGGAAGTTCCATTATCTCTGATGGGTTACACTAAAATTAATTTTATATTAGGATATTCAAAATTAAAAGTTGGTTAATTTGCAGAAACAAACAACGGTCACTTGGCAATCCCTAAACCTCAACACAATTGGTTGTTGACACGTTATATATCTCACCTTTTGTAAATAATTTAGTTATTTCAACCACTCACGAACAATGTTATGTTGGTACCACGACTACCACGATACATCGAACAAAAGTAAGTTCAATACGATGAAAAACAACCATTATCAATTAGTATTCGCATCATTGATCATTGAATGACTGATGAACCTCGCTACACTAGCAACTGAACAGGTATTTATATGTAATGTAAATACAACTATTATCAACGAAGTTTCCATGGAAAATATATTATTGTTTCAATCGAAATCATTAGGAATTTATAAGTAGTGCTATTGGAAATATAGATATACAATGTGTTCCAACGAAAACTATCCTACCAGAAACAAGTCAAGGAAAAGGGGTAGTAGAAAGAAAATCATTATTTTTGTGATCGTTATGACGGGTAACATAATGTGAAAACTTTTTTTTCGGATAAAAATACACTACTTCTTGCAAATGCAAGTTTACTTGTCAAACAAAGTATCACTATTGATCCTAATAAAACAATCGACTATTCAAGACGCTTTCATTAGCTTGGTATGTATGTTTTTCTGCGACCGACTCAGAAGTTCATTTTAATTCCAAAATTAGCTCTTGTAGTTGACGTTTTCATTACTGACACAAAAATAGGTAAAGGTAAAATTGAACTTTGGCTCTGAGGAACTAAATAGGATGTACTAGGTCATCAAGAATAAACTACATAGCTTAGTCATTATTCCAGATTTTTTGGGATTTCCTCTCCTCGTTTCTATAAAATAAAAATATTGATATTATTTCAATATACGTGTAATGAGGACAAAATCAGATGATTTACCCCAAAATGTCACTGAGCGGAGACAATAGCATTGCTTCTTGTTTAGTTGATATAGATAGAACATGGTATTCAATGGTAAATTCAAGATTTATCAATGAAAACATCCTGTAACTCATTTGATTGCCAACGTCACCAATTGTCACTGAGAACTGGAAAGTTTTATGGTGAAAACGGGAGCAGATTCGTTCCCAAAACGTCCAAAGCTTAGTGAAAGTTTGATATTTTTTCTATAAACCTTAATTTCTCTGCTCCAATCCTTTTTCAATAAAAATTGTCACTGACAAGCTAGTGATTTTTTCTTTTAGGCTCTCTTAAAGGAAAATTATTTAAACGCAGTGACATTTTGGTTGCCCCAATCCTCTGATTTGTCCTCACTAAACGTATAAATAATAATAACGTTGAAATAATATTCATATTTTCATTTTATAGAAACGAGGAGACAAATCCCAAAAAATCTGGAATAATGATTAACCTACAGACAGTATTTACATAGCTTAGTATTTGTTATATTCATCAAGAAACGCAAACACAATTACATACCTAGTCAATTTGTAATATTTATATTGGAACTACAATTTCAACAACCTTGAGAATTGAATGAACCTGATCTGAAAATGCCTCCATGGTATATTTCTTGAATTGATCACATCGAAAGAACTAAAAAAGAGAAATAAAAGTTGTTGGAGTACGAGATTCTCTCAAATACATTCGATACAACGAACGCATTTAATATAAGAGGAATATACATAAAACAACGCGGTGTGGAGTTGGCTGGTGTTGTTTGTTCTGCGATTAAAGTCCTAGGCAATGAAACTCATCTCCTGAAGCTATGCTGCTCCTTACAATGAGATATCCTTGAGGTGAACCCAGTTGGGTTAGAATCGAATATCAGACCGGCACGCTCCCCACTAGAGGTAATCCTCACCACACGGATTATTTCCTGAATCGCATCCTCATCCTTCTCCTGTATATCAAGCAAAATACACGAAACTTGGTAAATATAATTTGTTAATGAAACTATACGTTTTGAGATGTTTGCAACCCTGGGGTGTGCTTAGAAAGGGTTGAAATATTCAACCCTTAAGATATTTTGCGTACAACTTTTGTTTTCGATGAAAATGTGTCTTTCAAAAGAACATGGCTAAAAGGCCCAATCCATTTATACTAACTTTTTCAACTCTTGAAGTTTTCTCGAAAATTGAAGCATTCGCCATATTTTTTTTAAAGTCGTTGTAAATTCTCCCGCTCCATATCTCCGTAACCGTTGATTTAACAAAAAAGTTGTTGGACACTTTTTTTCCGAATCCTATATGGATCATTTTGGTGTAGAGTGACTTTTGCATAAATCATAGTTTCCGAGATATAAGGGAAGTATACGGATCAATTTGGGGTCGGAATCAATTCCCTTCAAAACGTGTTTCGGGCTTGAATAAGTTCTTCATCATCAGAACTAAACGACTTTGGTCGATATCCTTACTTCCCGATATAGGTTTCTCTCTCTCACTCGTCCTGCTTTCT